TTTATTTAAAATGTTTCCATTAATAGGCTCCTAATAGATTAAAAAGATCATCATCGGATGACTGGTCAATCTGAAAAAAGAATATGTTGCAACTTAGAAGGATAACTGAAGCTGAGTGCCTTCATTGGAGTATTTGACTACCTTGGTCTTCATTGAACTTCTCATAACGATGTGCATGTAAATGAGCAGATGGTCTAGTGTTCTTCAAAGCTGTCTCTATATCTTGAGGCATAATTAGTCCAACATTCGGCAAATCTGCATGCAAAATGCTGATCCAGTGAATTTCTGATGTTTGAAATGTAAACTTTTCCTATTTTAACTTTGTAGGCAGAACAAAGTATGAAAAGCAGAACATGTCTCACTTGCCAATAAACTTAATGGACAGAAAGATACTATTTTCTATATGGATGTTTTTATTGAGCCACAGACCAAATACTTGGAGATAAAAGATGTTTCTCCAAAACCCTAGGAAAAATAGGCCATATTGGTTTCATGTATATAAAGGCACCATCAGAAACCATCTAAACTCAAAGTCTCAAACTGGATATCCATTCATCTAACTTGGCTCCTAGGATGCAAAACGGCCAACAAAGCACCCAAGCTTTGCTTTTCCCATGCAGTCAAATGTTTTAGACGTGTCATGCATGTGGTCTTTCTAATTTGTTGAACTTGAACCAAGCTACCATAATGAAGCAGACAAAAAGAAGAAAGAAAAGAACAAAAAATGACATTGCACAGAGAAAATTAATACTGAGACAAAGTACCAGATGTCCTGACAGAAAGGTCAGTAAAGTAGTCCTTTCATATTTCTCCTCATTGTAAATGAAACTTCAATTATTATTCTCTTTAAAATTTCAATGATATCAGAAGCACGTACCATCCTCAGGCAAAACCTCCTGCCTGTCTTCAAGAACTGTCATTAGGCGTCTTAAAGGCTGCATTGCTGCTTCTTTACAGAGTAATCGAATATCTGAACCAGAGTAACCTTCTGTCTTAGCTACTAATAAATCATATGGAAGAACCTCTTCTCTAGCCTGTGCCAGCAAAAGTTCTTCAAACATGGCTCTTCAGGCTTCTGGTTCAGGGAGAGGTACAAGAATCTTTAACATGGTTAAAGGAAACTATTTAACTAATAACGCATACCTGAACTGACAATCAATAATCTAAATGACCATAATCAAACTGAAATTACCGAATAATCTTTGTTCAGTCATTAACTCAACATTAAGCAAAGTTATGCTCTTTGGTGAAAGTCTAACAAATGCTTCATAATGTTTTTCAAAATTTAGAATAAATGAACATTCTAGATGGATACTCGCTTCTCTAAACGCCGGAGCATGGCTGCATCCAATTCCCAAGGGATATTTGTTGCAGCCAAAACAAAGACAAGCTCATTTGTCCTTGTCAAACCATCCATCTGCAATTTAGCCAATATGTAAGTTTTCCAGGAAAGTACAGTTTAAATCTTGTATGATTTTGTTTTCAAATAATTATTAGATCAATCCATACTCTTCATCCAAAAAAATAAAAAATAAATTAAACACTTTATTGAGGCTTTGAGATTCAATGTCTTATATTTTTCCCTCTCTTTTCATTTTTGGTTAAAACAAAGTCCCATGTCTTTCAGTACCCCATTTTCTAGACATTGTAGCCAACCTTCCAATTATGAAGACAGCTACATAATATGTTCAGATCAAACATGGATGAAACAATATTAAACTCCTTAATGAGGCTTGAGATTTTTCCCTCTTCCGTTTTCATCTTTCAGGGGAAGAATGGCCCTCATCTTTCATTATCACAATTTTCTAATCATTGTAGCTAATCTTCCAATCAGCTACATAAGAATTACACAACAAGCAGGGAAAGGAGTGAAGCACTACAGCTAATTTGAATCAGGTAAGTTAAGAGATTGAGAAGAAGAAAACAGAAGGAATGAAAGGAACTGGGAGTAAAGCAGGGGAGGGGGGGTGTTGAGTTGGTATTGTCGATTTCTTAATATCTTTATTTCTCCTGAAATTTATCTACCTTCAGCTGAGACATGTAAATATATATATATACACACACATGACAATGTTGCCTACCACCAGGGTTTTAAATGCAGCTAAGCAATGGTACAAAACATCTAAAAGATATACATAGAAATTTATATGTTGAGTTTCCATTTAAATCCAAACCCAAATAATTAAAAAAAAAAAAGAAAAAAAGAAAAAAAAAGTAGTAATACCAAAGATTGAAGAAAAAATATCACCTGAATGAGTAGCTCAGTTTTCAAACGCCTGCTAGCCTCATGCTCACTGTGTCCTTCACCACGCTGACTTATAATTGCATCAATTTCATCAAGAAAGATAGTTGATGGAGCATGGTGCCTAGCTAGGTCAAATAGTACCTTGATTAACTTCTCTGAATCACCTGAAATCCCATGAAAAGCATAATTAGATACCAGAGTAATGTTCCTTCTATAAAATTAAAAAAAAAAAAAAAAAAATGAAAGAAAGAAAAGGCAACAATAAATGATAGACATCACTAAAGGCGGAAATAGACAATACACCGTATCATCTCATCCCAGTGAGCTTTTATCACTTCCCTACGCACACAGCGCAAAATTGAACACATTTTCATCTAGAAGACAATACGAAAGTGCAGGTATTAAACAATTTGAATTTTCATATTTCTTAGTCCAATTAGAGTCTGTAACAGACTTCAACTTTACTTTTATAGTTAGCCACTTATATGTTACCAGAAGAAAAGCACAATCAAGGTAACTATTTTGGAAGGCATGTAATATTTACAATTTGGATCATGTTCTTTGGGTTTCCTCCAAGAATAAACATCACAAAAAACCTAATTAAGTTTTCCATTCACCATGTTTGGCACATAAAATTGTAAACCCCTCCTGTATCATTAAAATACAAGGCAAGTAAAATTCTTAATATTCATGCAACAGCAGCCTTTGAAGTTTCTTCACCTATCATGACCTAAATAACATCTGTAATTCCTTCCTCTCATTCTTTTCTCCTAAAGGAGCAGTTTATAATATCACAATAAATCATCCGAACATCAAAATATAGTCCAAGATGCATTTGCTGAATGGTGAATACCATTGCTATATCTCCTCCATATTGTCCATGTAGTTAGGACAATTTTCATTTATTTTTATACCAAGGTCCAAGTCCATTTACATAACTCATGTATGACTAGCAAATATGCCTTTTAACATACCACGCCATTTGCTGACCACAGAGGATGCTGAAATGTTGAAAAACGTTGTCTTGCACTCTGTTGCAACTGCCTTTGCTAGCATTGTCTGCAACACCGAAATTGTCAGCAAGTAAGAAATTATATCAATCAGAAGAGAAAGGTGAGACTAAGCATTATCATGATATGAAAGGTAAGTCTATCTGAACTTATTTTACGTCAACATAAAATACATGCTCTATACCTTCATTCCTGCTGACTACACCTCTTCTCAAAAGTTCAAAATAATCAAAATGAATATCGTTTCTCTAAATATGTTATTCCATTAGAAACAGAAAACCAATAATGTAGCACCTCTTTGATGAGAACTTATTTTTTTCTTGGATCCTAAATAAGCAAAAAGATGTTAGAGCTAAAAGCTTATACAGTGAAGAGGAAAAGCCAGTGCTTTAGAAGTTTGGATCACTTAATAAACAGTAATTGAACAAAAAGGATAAATTTAGCACAAAATTTAGGAGTCCCATCTAAATCGTTACTCTTATGGAGAAAGGGATTAAAAATTATACAGCACAAAGGTGGAGAGCAAAATCATTTCCCCCTAAAAGTAAGTGCAAATGCATGAATTTGGCTGGCATCTCCAGGTTAGATAATGAATTAAAGGAGAATGGCTACAATGCAAAAAAGTTTCCATTAGAAAAATAACAATACATATGGAAACAGAAGACACCAACCTTTCCAGTCCCAGGAGGGCCAAAAAGGAGAATGCCTTTCCATGGCGATAGAAGACCAGTAAAGTACCTACAAGAAATTAGTATGATTTTGAAACTAAAGCTTTGCTGAAAAACATATATTGTATTTATACAACATATTACTTAAATCAATTTGACAAAAAAAATGGAGGACCCAATGGTGATTGACAAAGTATTATCATGGATTTCAAGAATATGGAAGAGAATTCAGCAACAAACTTGTTCCAATTATAAATGCAAATAGGAGTACAATCACATTGCATGCAAATAACTTGTACCTGGGCCATGATCCACAGGTATAGCCAGACTTACTTGGGGTATTTTATTGGCATGACAACTGCTTCTTTAAGAAGACGTTTGGCATTTTCCAACCCCTTGATGCTTTCCCACTTAACATCTGGACTACCTTGAATAATGTCCCTGAACAGAGTACAGAATTAGATGTTAAAACCATACAGAAGTTTAAACTTACAATACAAAAGTATTTATTGCCAGACCATATGAATGAAACTACTAGAGAAGTTCTTCTATAATGGGTAGATGTTCTTGGAGTTGATAATACCTACTCAAACTCTCAGCTAAAGTTAGTGTTTCTGCAGAATCAAAAGCAGGAAACAGACTCTTCTGCCTGAAAATAGAAAGGACAAAAAAAATGAATCAACGTCAGCAGTTTCAAAGAAAGAGGGTATTTATGAATAATATCATTTTCAGCTTCTGCAGCTAACATTAATCTTCTGTTTTCCCAACTAAAGGCTTCTGTACTTA